TCTCTCTCTCTCTCTCTCTCTCTCTCTCTCTCTCTCTCTCTCTCATACACACACGAGCACGAGCGCGCACCCACACACTGAATTTTATCCTTACCCAATGGATTTTTCAGGGCATTTTCATTAAATACAAAAGTGTTTCATGAGTCATCAGAGCTTCGGTTTTGCCCTAAACTCTCCAGCAATGGAGTCCGACATTCAAGTTTCAGGTACTTCCTCTATAATTCAAAATAAGAGTTTGGAAACTGAATTCTTACTGCTGCTTGTTTGTGTTGGTGAGTTTGTGTAGGTCAATGGCAGCTGGTAATGAGCCGGGTGCATGGGTTCCAAAATCAGTGCCGGTTCAGGTCGCCCATGAGCTTCATAATGCAGGCCACCGCTATCTTGATGTTAGGTATCATGCTTTTGTTCACTGAATTTCAATGCTGGTAGCTTTAAATGCAAATTTTCAGGGCATTCTTACTGTAAAAAGGGTAGCTTCGTTTTTCTCACAAGTTAATTATATGAAGGAAATGTGACGTTTTTATGCAAATGAAGAATACATATATAGGGTGCAGTTTCTATAGGTCCTAGGCTTTATGAAAACAAGATAAAGCCTCACCTCGAATCCTCGTCCTGAAAGCAGCACTTTGGGCATTGAAAATCTCCATATTGTTTATAAATTCAATTTCCAAAACTGACCATGAAATCTGAAGCTCAAAATATGTACAGATATTGCGGATCCGCGAACACTTACCTTTAGGGCAAAATGGATGGTCTAGAAAATGGATCTGTTAACACTTAGCTTTAGGGCAAAATGGACGGTCTAGATAATGTGTTACATTATACACTATTTTTAGGGCTTGAAATCTTAATTTTTTTCACAACCATAATGGTTGAAGGTTTTGCGACGCCAAAACTGGCATTTTCCGTGAGTTTTGAGGTGAAGCTTTACTTATTTTGATAGGGCTACAACCCTATCAAAACATTTTCCATATATATATATATGGAAAAAGTTTATATAAGGTTGCAACCTTGAAATGTAGAATTACATATGCACCTCAAAAATACATTTGAAAGGCTGTTTTAATGTTGAAAAATTCTCTACTTAATCATCTCGACATCGAGATATATGAATACCAAATAAAAAAAGATTTTGAGTCCCAAAAATAGTGCATCTTGCAACACATTATCTAGACCATCCATTTTCAAGATTTCCATATGTTTATAGATCTACTGGCCAGGATGACCAACCACGGTCTATCTTGGATATCAGCTAGCCCTACTTGCTTTGATGCCTCTATTACCGCTGACTTTGATCCCCAAGCTCTCCTCGGATCCCCATCATAGAAGCATTTCATCACCTGTCCCCGCCATCTGCTCTTGGCCCTCGCGCTCAATACCAGAGGAACGGCGATAGAAGGTTGCCGAACCTATGATGGTTGCGTTCTTCTTGCTACTTCTTAGTCGTAGTTGATTTTAACTATTTTGGAGTTTAAAATTTTATAATTTGAGAAAAAAATAGATTTTAAGATAATCATAAGAATTTATTACATCAAAATTACATGTTATGATAAAATTTGGAGGTGCGCCTTAATTGGATTGTTTAAGGTTGCAACCTTATAGAGAGCACACCATATATATATATGTGTGCTCTCTATAAGGTTGC